GGCACCCGGGCAGTATCCCAGCCTTCACACAAATCAAATGATTTGTGGTGCATATCTATTCGGTACCCCTTTGTATCAATATTTGTGTTCAAATAAGTGGATCTACACATAAAAGTAACTAAGTCAACTGACTTCTGTTATATTTTTTCACCCTCCCCATTTCAATTATGTTATATATAGGTACTGCACTTAAACGAAAATATGGTCTGATAACTACTATTAAAGAAGCTTATGATTGTGTGTGCACTACTGCGAACACATCTTCAGTATCACTAAAAATATGCACAATTCGCCCATTAGTAAACAAAACAACCAGTCTTGGGATGAACATCGCTTAACATTTTACCGCACAAATTTAATCCACAGTAACTTTAAACATTTATTGATAGGAAGCAAGGTGAAAAGACTACTTGTCATCGGTTATTATTCAAAAATGGCCAAGGCAGTTTTTAACGTTAGTTCTGTTGGAATTAAGATAAAGCTTGAAATAAAATCAACGATATAATGAGCTTGTGTCAGCGTACCAATTGTTATGAACAAAAAGAATCAGCAAGTATATAATATCAATAAGACTGTCCATCATACAGTGAGAATATTAGCGCGTTTTTACAAAATGAGTTGTTTTAAAATGTAAGTTACATGATTTCTGAAGACTACAAATGTGTATGAAAGTGTTAAATAAATAGTGTATTCCTTACATCCTTGTATATATAAATGTATATATAAGGCCAACTTTGAAAAGAGCTAGTATAAGTAACAAAATACAGCAATCAATATTGAAAATGAAGAATGAATCCAAGTAATAACAACCAATGAAATTTCAAATGGACTACCATACATGAAAAGATATACAAATGAGGGAAAAAAAGCACTTAAGGGAATGGGCTTATATATATATATATATATATATATATATATATATATATATATATATATATATATATATGTTACATTAGTAAATAAACTCTAAGAAAAACACTGAACAACAAAGTTTTACACCAGGTTTTGATGAAATGAGAAAACATTTATCAAAAGTTTATTGGTATTAACTATTTTTCAACATGTTCCTGAGTATTAGAAACATGTTATATAAATAAACGATAGTAAACATTTACAATCCTAATTGTGTAATTGTATGCATTAAATGTTATATAACTTACTATTATTTTTCTTAGATCAAACAACAGAGTTACATACTTTGATGATATGAATAGTCGAGTTATTTTTTGAAAGGGAATTTTCTGAAGCTGTGCAGATATATTTATTGTTGTTAATTGCTATTATAATTATTAGTGAAGACAATTTGTCACATTTGAATTATAAGAGAATTGAGTAGTATAATTATTTTTTCCCTCAATTCTGATGTTAATTCAATTTACAATACAAATGAATATTATTATGTATGTATAAACTGGTCTATATATATATATATATATATATATATATATATATATATATATATATATATATATATATATATATAGCGAAATTGTTCACTGAACAAAATATACACAATTATTGGATAAATTGAACTGATATTTCAAGTGAACCATATGGGAAAAAAAAGCATAGAATAGAATAGAAAGTGAATAAATTTCAACTATAAAATCTTTGGATTAAAGATAAACATTCATATATTTGACAGCAGTTAAATCAACGAATAGATAAAAATTTAGGGAAAGCAATTTAGATGATAAATATCACATTACATATTTAACTTTCATTATATATATAAACTATCTATTGACAGAAGAATCATGAGCCTGACGTATACTATTGCTAGTACCAGGTGCCAAACTACCTGGAACAGTAGAACCTCGATTATATTTATCCACAACCCGTTGTAGTCGAGCATTCTCTGCCTTAAGATCTTCCAATTTTGACTGAACCTCCCTTAGCTAAAATTTCGAAAAAAAATACATAAATGTGCAGAAAAGTAATTGTACAGTCTATAAGGTCAGGAAAGTATTAACACAACAGACACAGTATTTGTCTATTATTTATGTAGGACACTTACTTCATCAGTAGAATTAATCTAAAGAATAATATTATTACAGAGTCTTAAGCGGTGTGGTAATTTAATGTAAAATATTAATGCTATTCAATAATTTAAATACTACTTAATGGTAAATACAATAGGTATATCATGATGAAGAATGTATGCAATTTTTGTGAATTCATGATTGATTCTATTGAGTGTTAGATAATACTCAAAGATTGCGGTTAGTAGTGAAGACTAAGATGCACGTTTCGTTTTATTTGGGACTCTTCACTTGAATGTACCTGTATCGCATAACTGTCGATGTTCATGCTGAGGTTCGAACCCAATACTTATCATTTTTAAGTATCAACGAGTTATCCACTAAGCTACCCAGATCAGGTAGCCACAAATTTGTAAAATGAGTATAGCCTTTATATCATGAAGAGTTTGAACTATCCTGATGTTGATATTCAGAATCGAACCTTGGTCGGTTTTAATTTGAACTCATGCTAGATAGCAATGATATCAAAAATGTTTTTAAAACAAATGTACACATACTTTTCGGAAATTCTACCATAAAATATACAAATTATCAAACTGTTAGCTGTTGAACATTTTGATAAGCTTTTCAACTTAAATCACTGTTTATATAAAATATATGGAATGTGGCTAACAGTTGAATCTAGAAAATGTGTTTCGTCCCGTTTGGAACATATCAACCTAATGTACCTGCAGTCGAAACAATTACAGATTAAACTAAATCACTATTGTTCATTTTGTTTCTATCAGTTTTAAATAAACACAATTTTTATCAAGTTTTTAAATTGCGCTAATTTTCTTATGAACAGGAAATTATCAGTAATCTTTGTATCAATCATAGATTTACCATTAAACAAAATATCAACTAAATTAAATGTCAAGAAAATAAGTAAAAAAAAGACCCTTCAATTCGGGCTAATAATAATAATAAAAATTTAACTGGACTTAAATAAACTAAGCTAAGAAAACCTAACACTCACACACACAAAAACTTACTTCACGTTGACATTTTCTTCGATCTTGTTTCAAAATTTCTTCTTGTTCTTCACAAGCATCAGCTATGGCTTTATATCGTTTTGTTTGACCTTCCAAACGTACAATCTATAAATTAAAATTATCCATTCCATTAGATAGTTGTTATATAAATTTCATTATGAGAGTTTGAGAAAAAAAATCCATTAGCGTAACTATAGGAACAGTCCAGTTAATAAAAATAAAAATTGTCAAAGAGAATGACCACGAGGTAGATTGATCAGTCAGACAAATGCAACGTAGAACCTGGCATATCCATACATAGGTTCAAATTTGTTTATTTAAACACATAAACGCTGGTATAAGGAAGCACCAAAATATATGTGCGCCACACTTCATTATTCGATTTGTGTGACGGATGGAATTCTGAACAGGTGCCCAAACCGATTCAGGTGGTTTACTTTGGGGATGACTCCCAGAGTCTTTGACTCAGAGATCTAATCCACAAGACAGTGGAGCAATTTTAAGAGAAAAATCTCATGGTAGCCGGTGACTACCAATAGGTCATAGACCATTTGTTACTTCAGGATCTAGGGGCCCATGTGCACCATTGGTTTGCAATAGGGGTTTTCCAGATTCCCTAGGTGGATCCTCTATATTCACTAATCCGGTTAAAGTTCCGGACATTCGCATTTCATCTTCTCAACTTCCTAAACAATACTCCCGCCGCGAGAAGGCAGTCGCTGTATACGCGTGGCCGTATGAGGGCAGGTATTGATGTTGAATTATAAAATAATGCAAAATTATTTGTATAGGGTTGTGGAGATCGTTGAGTTTAAATTGAGACTATGAATCGAGTCCCGTGTTAAGGACCGTGGGTGAGCACTTTTGAGGAGTCCCACACTATGACGAAACATCCGTCCATTGCTTCCAGGTTTTCAAGGGTGGTCTAACACTAATCGACCCATGATCTCGATACAAAATTATTTTAGCTACTTGTGTATTGTTACGATTTCAATAAATAAGAAGAAACATAACGTTAAGAATTACTTATGGACCGATTTGTGTAGTTAAATACAATTAAAGAATTCAGTCATTCACCTTGTAAAGTATTTCATAACTTCAACTAGTCGACAATAATCAAAATACAATATATATAATGGAAAATCATGTAAAACTATGTAACAGAATACAGTAGCCAAATGTAAATATATTAACAATAAGTACTTTGAATCAATATTATCGCATTATTCTTCGAGAAAACTTTGATTCCCATTTGTCAATTACACTTTTTTCAATATCAGTTAATAAGAAGACATTGTTTTGAGTAAAACAAATTACTACCAGTAATATTGTTGTGAATGCTAACGAATAACCACAGATGATTTGTATCGTTGACGACCGAAAACAAAACGGGGTGTTTGTTAGTCACTATGACTAGGTAATATTTAATTCAAATGCAAACATAGACACACACATCTACGCTTGAAGGTATAAAAATGTTATAAAAAGCGAAGAAAAGATTTTTAGCATAGAATATTTACATTATAAATGACTAAATCTGTAACTAATTAGCATATATATATATATATATATATATATATATATATATATATATATATATATATATATATATATATATATATCATTGCACATCATCCTAGCCTTTTAAATCCATAATACTTTTTACTGAATTGATTGTAGGTACTGTTGTAATTAAAAACAGTTCAAAATGGAAACAAAACAATACATTACTAGTATTATTGATATTATCGGAGTGCAACCGCATGGCAACAGATTGAATGTACACGTTTCAAAATCAAGTCAAAACAACATATTGAAAAGATGTGTTTACCATGTATACAAATTTACTTAATCAATATCTATTCTAATGAACTGTAGGTAAAAACGTTATGTTCAGAAAAATAATAGTAGTAAACAGGTTGGTTGTGCACAACTAAAGTATATATATATATATATATATATATATATATATATATATATATATATATATATATATATATATATATGGCTACGGACCAACACAACACATACAAATACATATATGCGGTAGGAAACACGTGACCAGTGAAACAATATTTCCCTCGTGAAAGTCATGGTGCATTTTTCGCTTTCAATTGTTGTTTAAGCAGATATTCCGATGGATGTAAAGCACACATTATAGACACAAAGTAACAACTAGTAAATATTGGACAGATCAATTGAAAACACAGGAACTGGAAGATATTTGTTGTACAATTTTACTGGCTGAAATCCAAATACAAAAAAGGGGGCGCCAGATTAAATATGGTGTTATAACTAAGCGGGAGATAATATGCATTGGAAGGCGTAAATATCATTGATGGAGTATGTGTGAAACTTACGATTCATAAGTGAAGATGTTAAATAACATGACTAAAAATGTTGCAGTGACAAAGATGTGATCATATTAGGTAGTGAGATTCGATAATAATTTCATATTTTCCATTGTTCATGTTTTATTCTTTTATTTTGAGGTCATACGTTTTATATTCGAGATATTTTTTAATGATACGAACACTAACACTACTTCAATTTCTTTAGCTATGAATCTTATTAGTATCTATAAGCGTTGACCTGATGACAAAATGTGACGATGTGCACGCGTTTGTAGCAAGTTGTACACTGTTTATGATTGACTAACGTAATGCTTCTGCTACAAACTTATCATGCATCAATTTCAACGTTAACAGTATTCTCTACAAAAAGGGTTGTATGAACTGACAGAGACTAGGCACACTACAAAAGAGCTTATGTAATAATGAAGAGTAGTAATAAGTGTTAAACAAGAAAATAGTAACAATACCCACAATAAAGCACAATAACACTGTAAATACTGAAGTCATAGATGCTAGGGGCTTAAGTATCAATCGGAAAAAGATATCAACGCAAATGCATACCAACAGATATTTATATAATGATTGAAATGACACATTAACACCGTTGGATGTCAGCTCAGTGGTCTAAAGTTAAGTATTTGTGCGCGAAACCGAAGGTCGTCCGTTCGATTCTTGCGTGTGACGACGTGGTTGCGCACAGCGAATCTATTATCAGTCAACATAAATAAATTATTCTATTCAATTAAAAATTTAAAGATGGGCTTCATAAAAGTCTGTGAATAATGAAACTCACATCGCTTTCAAGAGCTGATATCTTTTGAGATGATTCATGAAATTTCAGTTTATATTCTTGAGCTTGATTACGACTTTCTATTGAGAAATAAAAATTTTCCCAAAAAAAAACAAGATAGAAAAAGAAAGAACAATAATTAGAAAGGAAATAATAGAATAATCATCATATGGATCAAATCTAAACAAATTTACTAAAAGGTATAAATGAGGAGTACTTTTTTCAATGAATTCTCAGCAGGTACCACTATTGTAGATTCAAATTCATATTTAAATGGGGGATAACGCCAAGTTTAAAGAGAAATACTCTATTTAAAATTAAAATTTCTGAAATTTAAGATTGCTAGTGGGAAAACAAAATTGAAATTGCTAAGATTAGCATGAATCAGCCTATAGATGAGTTAAAATTATGTAATTTGTAATCAGAGTAAATGTAGATATAAATTTTAATGTTGAAGTGACTAATGTGCGATATTAACTGTAATTTAAACGATGTATTCATACTTGAAGTTATCCCTTACGGAACAATAATTTGTCAGAAAATAGAGAAAGCGTTTACTGAAGTGTCAAAATTTATAAAAAAAACAGATGTATTTATAGTTTTCGGTACAGATTGTAACATCATTATGATCCAGCCAAATTACAAGCAGGAAATTTATACAACTGTCCGATCACAGAATGCCACGTCGATACTCTGGAAAATTCTATTGCGATATAACTGAACAGAATTTCTTCGGCTCCTTTAGAGCAGCTGGGGGCCTCGTCGCATGTTCTGGGAGGCGTCCCAACAAATTATACTATAACTACTCTGGTATTTATATTTGATAATTTGATCATGCAGTGTTTTGATATAAAGTAGCGAATCCAACTGACATATATGTGTCCCAGGTTCTACATTAACTACGATTTATTGATCTATGTATAACACAACTATTTATTCAATTCCATTATTTAATGGAAAATTTGTTTCCCACATGATTAATTCCACCGGTACACAGAATTCCTATTAAAGTTGAAGATATAGAACTGATAGTATTACATTAGGGGGAATAAATAAGAGAGATGGAGCATCTATAACTATTCTACTAAGAAATACAAAAATTTTTACCGTGTAATCACTAAATAAAGTACCTTTTATATTGTTGTTATTCTTCAGCTTTTATTTCATTCATTAAACGTTATTATACGTTTCACTATTCTTAAATTATTGTTAATTAACCATATATCTATTACTAAGTTTTGTTTCAGTACATATGACTTATTTATGTGGACATTGTGATTTTTTTGTGATGCAGAGTTATAGTCAGTTAATTACTATGTATAATTCTGTGAGCTTTAGAGTCAGAATAAAAATGAAAGATAATATAATAATATGTTATTTTAATTGCAATCTTTGTCTTCTGATTGGTCACTGAGAACAGAAGCTAGGTGGACCAATAAGAATTAGAACTAAATGACCACTGTTATTGCGTTATCGGATGTAAGGGAACGTGTCATTAGAGGACTCGTTATAATGATGTGACTCGATCAAAAGGATAATACGTGTTTGAATTTATAACACAGAATTTTACCCGGTGATTTAAATGTACTGAGCACATAACCGTATAGTAATATAGCCTACACGTCCAATACTGTGCATCATTGGGTCATTATTATAGAATTTAAAAATTTTAAGCTATAACAAAATGTATGTATGAATGTTTTCTTTCTCTCTAAAACTTTTCCACAACTGATAGTCAAGTTGTAATCAAATTGAAGGGATTGTCATCAATACGTATAGACATAATTTACCTATAGTGTTGTATCAATAAACAAAGAAAAATACGATATTTCTACTTTAATAAGACTGAATTATTTTATTTGGATTATTAAGTCAGTTATCGCAATCGTATTGTGGTGTATGATAGTTATGTTGACAGATATAAGTAATATTTAGCCGCGATCAAAAGTGAAATGTCTGGTAGAAGATTTCGTCGAAGGGAAAAGGAAGGAAATAGGAGAGCAAACGAAATAACAATGGAATAAAAGGAATAATGAAGTAGGTAAAGGACAACGCAAAGATGTGTAAATGATGCATTTAATATATGATTTCCATATTTTGAGAAAGTACTGTGTAATTTTTCATTGAATAATAAACTGCTTTTTCCCACCTGTGTTCTTGTTCATTACAGTATTTACAAAAATTAGAAAAACATGTGATGTTTGGAAAAAACTTATTAGACGAATCAGCAATAAAACAATGAATATTAATAATGATTATTTTTTAAATGGCAAATTTACTATTAAGGCTTTCTCTAGTTTCTTTTTTTTCAAATTCAATAGTTATTCTTATTTAATTTAATCAAATCTACTTTGATAATGAGAACTAGAAAATGTTAAAACTGATATAGATGAATATAAATCATTACTCTAATATATATAAAGAAAATATTGATTTGCAATGGGTACAGAAGAGAGAGAAAGAGGACAAGTAAGCACAAATGTACACATCCACACACACGCGCGCACAACATAGCAACTTCAATTTTAAATAAACACTGCAACAGAGTCATTCAAATAAAAGAAAGTGCAAATATACGTATCAATACTTACACAAACACAAGCACACGCATGCAACCATACATACACATAGATATCTGCTTATTGATGTAAATGTGATTCAGTTTCTCAACTGAATTACACAAAATTGATATTGCAAGTTATAGTGACTACAATTATTCTATATTCAGTCACGAGGTTACGAGGGAATTATGATTCATAAAGTTATTTCATTGTAATTTTATAGATATTCCATTAAAGTACTAAGTATTAAATATAAGGCTATTGAAAAACTCATATTGAAAAGATAATAATAGTAAAAATAAAAATAAAAATGACCAAGACTAAAACACAAGCAAAGATGGATAGTGGTGAGCAGTGGAATCCAGGATGCGCGTTTCCTCCAATTTGGGACTTGTGAATTAAGGCAGTATCGCGACAATACGCACAGGATGCACATATGCCAACAAGAGACTGATCAATCGCAGTTCTAAACATGAATGGGAAGATTCAAGTAAGCAATACCAAATGAATTTAGAAGAAAGTACTATTTTAATTAAAATTAAAGAATTCGTTTTTTACGCCTATCTATCTATCCATTTATTAGTGAGCCTCAACATACACAAGGGAAAATTCAAGATCCTCAAATACAGAATGGAGAACACCAACACAATCACACTTGATGGAGAAGCTCTGGAGGATTCGGAGTCTTTCGTGTACCTGAATAGAACCATCGATGAACGTGGAGGATCTGATGCAGATGTGCAAACACTGATTAGCAAAACAAGGACAGTATTCCTACACTCGAAGAACATATGGAACTCAAAACAGTCGTCAACCAATATCAATTTCAGAATCTTCAATACGAACGTCAAGACAGTTCTACCGTATGAAGCTGAAACTTGGAGAACTAATACATCCATCATCAAGAAAGTACAAGTATTTATAAATAGTTGTCTACGCAAGATACTCAACATCCATTGGCTGGATACTATCAACAACAACAACCTACTGTAGGAGAGAACAAACCAGCTTCCATCTGAAGAGGAAATTAGGAAAAGATATTGGAGGTGGGTAGGATGTACATTGAGGAAATCACCAAACAGCACCACAAAGCAAGCCCTAACATGAAATCCTGAAGGGAAAAGGAAAAGAAAAAGACCATGGAACACATTTCGTCGGGAATTGGGAGCAAACATGAAGAGAATGAATAGCAACTCCATACAACTTGAAAGGTTTGCCCAGGACAGAGTTTGATGGAGAGTGCTGGTGGGTGGCTTGTGATCCTCCACGAGGTGTAACAGGCGTAATTAATCCATCCATTTATCCATTCACTCACCTATCAATATTAGGTCAATAATGAGAAAATGAATTGAAGCGAGAACAGATAGCAGAATATTTTCCTTTTTATATGAAAAACTTTAGAAAGTATCGATAGCAGCGATGATGTTGATACACAAACAATGAGATTTTTCTTTAGATAAAGAGTGCACCGATCACCAACAATTGTATAAATATATATATATATATATATATATATATATATATATATATATATATATATATATATATATATATATATATATATATATATATATATATATATGAACATAAACTAGTGTATTTTATCAGTGTAGATACACATATAGTGGGGCATATAAAACAGTACTTTACCCAAAATAGAAAATCAATTATTTGCGTACAAACATACACACAAACACAGGAATACAATGAATTTCCATCATTGTTTGACTGAACATAAATATCGTAGTATAATAAAAATCATAACATTTGTAGTTTCGTCACAGTGAGATACCATCATCAGTCATGCATTTCGAAAACAAAAAAACAATGTCAAGTGAAATTAGATAAACAAATGGGTAAAACAACGATTAGGAAACAAGAAAAGAGAAATACGGTCCAACATGTTTACATTTTTGGAGAAACCACTTCAGCAAAATTTGAAGTTACAATATTAATATCCAGAAGTTGTGTTATATATTTTTCACTAAACATACTTGAAGTTATTGTTCCTCTGTATAATAAATTTGTTGATGTATTAATGCATTGATCTAGACAACACTTTACTTTCGATCAACAGATCGAAAGTTTTAGTCTAACACATTCCACTTATAAATATTTGGATAGAATTCATTAACCTACAACACATGATTGGTGTGCTTTCGTAGACCGATAAACAAATCAATATGTATGGAAGAACTTATTTGACTTTTTGAAGAAAAGAATCACTAGTCTGATCTGTTAAGGCAAACTTGTTGTACGCTTCCTATTTAACATGGATAAAACTTGGAACTGATTACTAGAAAAGAATTATTTGACATGATTTAAAATCTGTAGTAGTTATACCGAGATAAAATAAACCAAATTTTTCGTCTATCGCCTATCTTTATTAACTGGTTATTAATTTCTTACTGCTGCTGACACCATTATATTCATATGATTAGAAATCTCCTGATTGATGTTTTTTTCTCTTTAAAGAAATGATTCTTGTTTATTGACTTCACTTCTAGAAATAGATAACCATTTTCATGAATTTATGTCAGGAAGCCTGAATGAAAGAGATAAAATCGCGTGAATATTCAGTTCAGAAAATTGTTTACTGTATTTAAGTTTGGTAGAGATTAGTTTTGTTTACCGGTAAGTGTTAGTCACTACATTAAGTAGTTCAAAACTGAATATAATGTTTTTTATTGTTAGAAATTTGGAAGCAATCAGGAAGAAGGGTCAAACTAAGGTATCACGCTAGTCAGAACTTATAAATACAATTTTGAAGAAAACGTTCTATACTTGTTGACTTACATATTCCTATTTGAAGACGCTGAAAAAATGCAGAACGTCTGAAGCGACAACAGTGCTAGTGTTTGAGATGGGTTCCTTTCCATTTAAATATAAAATGTTGCATCAACCTCAGAACTAGTAATAGGCAGTGAAGAGTTAATTGTGTTGACCACGCCACATATCAAAGAAGTCCCATCATCACTGGTGGGTTAGTTGGCTTTGCCAACTTGCGTCAATCGTGCAGTAGATGAGATATCCATCTGCTAATTAAAGGACGATTATATTGAGCACCAGTTCACTCCTTTCTACTTTATGGTTGTGAAACGTCACCCCTGAAATTAAAGAACGTTTGTAGTTCACTGGAATTCCATCATACAGCACTTTTTGTACATTTATGGACCATGAAGTCAACAATTCCGAGGTTAACATGTAGGGTACTACGTGTGACGAATCAACTTACGAGCTAGTGAATTGCGATCGACTGAGATGGTTAGGATATGTATACCACAATGATGATGTAACTGACTATACCACTGAGTGACTCATACTAGAACCGTACAGAAAGTATTAATTGATTCTTCAACACTACAAAGTTTTTTTATAAGCACCAACTAGAACAAAACTTAAATTTATGACTTCCGGACGGCTATCTCCAACCACCTAACTTCCACATATATACATATAGTGGAGAGGTGACCCAGTGGTTTAAGCCTTCGACTATTAGCTATCAAGTCGCAGGTTCAAACCCCGGTCAACTACTTCAGTTTGAGTAACTGACCAGCACTACTATCTCTCGTGGTTAGAGTGTGATTCAAAATCAAGTATACGAACCCGTACTCGGTAAATGGATATTCAATGAAAGTATAGTATTCATCAACATATGTATACTTATTCAATGAATAAAGCAATGTCTCTGATATAGAGTAATTAAACTTTCAGATAAAAAAAGTCATTTATATTAGACTGTATTATACACCTTTATATTATAGGGAGCAACATACAATTTACGTATCAACAAGAAGTAATTCAAACTTCAAAGATGTTACATAATATGCATAGTACATTAGAATATAATTGAATATCCTATTGAAAAACCTGATTAAAAATTCCACCAATCAACTTAAATCAATTTAAGATTTAATAGAAAATATTACATTTGAATTGTTTATTAGAATTGGGATCCAAATTAATGGTTATATATCCAATTCCGTTATATAGATCATTTAGGCATGTAAGAAAAACTGTTTTAAACCAAATGATATTTAGAATAAATTATCAGTAAAAACACATGATTCGGTAGAATTGAATTAACTGTTTCTATAATGAATGATGCAGAACATAAGTTAAATAGATAGTTGAAAATTTACTTAAATCACGAAAGAAACTAGTAAGTATATTTATTAGGAATTGGAAAAGAACTTACAAAATTTATGAATGTTTCTGAGAGAACTCATCAAATACATCATCATTGAGATAAACAGTCAGTTAGGCATCATCAACGTAAAATCTGACAGATATGTATGTTGATCCAAAGTGCTTTGTTATATTAGCACAAAATGAAGTTAACATGACGAATACCAAAGGATACAAAATAATTGTAGTGGCAATAATGATAATGGAGGAAAAAGTGTGCGAAGACGGAATGAAAAGAAACAGAGATATTACCCAGATATCCAACTCATAGGAGATAGAATGGTACTTCAATCTAAGATTGAATATCTTAAAGCCAAGTGTTCAAACCAATTAGCAGTTCTCCTAAACACTTTGATTCGAGCAACCAAGTTAGATCACTACACTCCATACAATTAATAAGATTCTCAAACCGGACTATAAAAACCTGTATTTAGCAAACAAGTTACAGTAAATAGATAAAAAATATTTCAAATCAATTAAGATTGATTCTTCCCCACGTTAAATATTGCCTACCCACCGAAAAAAAAAACTAACTACCACTATGGTTACAATATTGAAATGTTCTCTGACTGATCAACTCTAAACACTTATTACCAGTGTTATGTTACTTCATTCTAAGTGCATCGACCGATTGATAGGCTTCGATAGAAGCAAAAAAAACTTTAGAAAACGATTGACTGAATACACTGTATTGTGATTAATACCCTTACACATGGATAAGAAAATAAAGAATATTTAACAGATTCAACAGAGAATCTAATAAATTTAATCAGCTTACGTTGTAGTTCATGTTTAATATCTTCTGTATTTGCTATATTTGTACGATTCTTTGAATCATAACGTGTAGATGGAGCCTCGAAGCGTTTACGTTCTTCTCTTAATTGAGATTCTAATTCTTCAACTCGTGCATCCAATTCGGACCGCATACTAAACAACTGTTGAATTTGCTTATCTACGAAAAAAATGATAAAAAGAAAGAAAAAGCTAGTAATATTTAGTGTTAAACTTATACAAAAAACATTGTTATTTTTCGATCGAGGCGTTTTGTGGAGATTGGTTTAATTTATAGATTCTTTATGGATTGACATTAGTATAAGGATTAATGAAAACAAAGAAGCACTGAATACATTTTTTATGTTAGCAGCGACCACTGATGGCCTGGGCAGTAATCGATAGCATTGTCAAAGTCATTTAAATAATAATGGACGATCAGTCAATAGTTTGATTGGTCAACAAGGTTTCGCAAGTTTGATCAGACGACCTGGCCTAATAATTATAACAATAACTTTGAAATAAAAATAAACTGGTTTGAAAAGGTGTTTTTGGGAAAATTTTACTATGAAAATTTTGTCAGCTGTAAATCTATGCGACTCTCAACTAATCAACAGAATTCAGTGATGAGCACTAACGAGTGAATTAAAAAATACCACATTGATGACTACATAGCCATTATCAAGTGTAAATATTTCAGCTAATTGTAGCTCTTTATAGCTTAGCGGTAACATTTCTGATTGTGACAATAGGTGACTCAGGTTTGAGTTCATAGGAGGTATTAAATCATTCAACATTCTAGATAGGCCCTGCTAATAAGTCAGTCATCAACAACGCAGAACTTCGTACATACGTACATCAGTTCGAGTTGCCATACCACATTAGCATACGGATACAATTGTCAACTCAAATCCCGTAGTGGTAAAAATATTCAGAAGATTAGAATTTGGAAGTACACAAAAAGTGGATGCAGCTGCGCCACTGCAAACGATTTTGAGCAATGTCATTGCTAATAAGACCTGACTAGTAAAGAAAATTAAGTTTGGAGCTTCGTATACGATTGCCTTCTTTATTCATTTATTTATCTATTTGAAAATAAATATTGGTACAAGGAGGCACCAAATACATATGCGCCACACAAATCTCAATTGATTTGTGTGAGGGCTGTGATACTGCCCGGGTGCCCAAACCGAAGCAGGTGGTTTTCTTAGAGGGCCACACCCGGAGCCTTCGACCTGAACGTCTGACCCACAGGGCAGTGGAGCATCGTAAGGAGATGCAGTTCCATGGTAGCCGGTGACCAACGATCGGTTCATATGCCATTTGTTCCTTCAGGATACTGGAGCCCATGTGCACCATTGGTTTGGGATCCGATTAAAGCGCCGGATATTCGCTTTTCGTCCTCTCATTTTCGTAAACAACACCCCCGCCACGAGAAGACAGTGAGTAGGACTTCTCTAGCAGAGGCTGTATACGCGTGACCATGTGAGAGCATTTCGAGAGGGAGAGTGGACTCTCCCCACTCTCGGCCGTACCAGAGCATTTGGGGGCATCTGTTACCATTAATGGTGTAAGGATGATAAATAAGACCGTGATTATGAAAATTAGTAATAAAACATGTGCCAATGAATGTAAAAGTCACATTATTGGAATCATGGGTGGTGGGAGGTAGTCGACACGACACCCTGGTTGACCTAGGTTTTGTCCTAGTTAGCACTCGTCAGTAGGAAGTAGTTGTAATCTTGAGGGAACCGATGCACCCTATAGGATTCGAATTCGCATCATCTAGCTCCACAGTCTGAGACGATTCTGTAAACTAATTCCAATCACCTAGCATCTCAACGTTGTGCATGCGATGTCGAATCACTTAGACCAGTGGCCACATTGCAACTTGATCAATAGAATTTGATCAGCACCTAAAGGACTAGACACAGATGACATTCAGTCAGTCAGCTGCAACGTAGGACCAGCCACGTATATGCATCGGTCCAAGTTGCCATACCTCATTAGCACAGCAAGATGAATACCGGATCCATGGAAGTAGTTAATTCAGTGGTGGTAATATATAGAAGAAAGATTGTGTATAAGGAGATAGTACAGGAAGATAGAATTAGTTCGTAGAAAGAAAGATTTGAAGTGATTTTAATCTCTTAGTTTAAAGGAAGACAGAGAGTGAATACACCGACGCCATTGTGATCGATTCTGAACCATGTCACCAAGAGTCTCCAACCATTGGTTACTATAGTCACGCGGACCCCAACCAGGTAGTCTGCATCTACCAACATGGCTCAGACCAGAAGTTAGTGACTTCAAGCACTGATGCCACGTTTTGGTTTGGCCGCCCCTAACTTTCTTCCAGTCATCCCTAACACCGGTTACCATTGCGCGTCGCGGTAATCGGTGTTCAGGCATACGCAGCACGTGGCCCAACCATCTCAGTCAATGAAGGTTCATAACCTCATCAACTGATTTACCATCATTTCCTAATACCCTGCGTCTAACCTCACTATTACTTACCCGGTGATCCCAGCAGATACCCGAAATATTTCTAAGGCACCTGTGGTCAAATACTAGTAATTTACGAGTATCTTCTACTCTTAATGACCATGTTTCACCATGACATTGTTCACTACTACTCAGTGATCATACTATGCAATAGATCGAAACACTGATCTGTTGTCATCGATTGAACTGTATAGACAGGAATTAACGCCCCTAAACGCCCTGGTACGGCCGAGAGTGGGGAGAGTCCACTCTCCCTCTCGAAATGCTCTCACATGGTCACGCGTATACAGCCTCTGCTAGAGAAGTCCTACTCACTGTCTTCTCGTGGCGGGGGTGTTGTTTACGAAAATGAGAGGACGAAAAGCGAATATCCGGCGCTTTAATCGGATCCCAAACCAATGGTGCACATGGGCTCCAGTATCCTGAAGGAACAAATGGCATATGAACCGATCGTTGGTCACCGGCTACCATGGAACTGCATCTCCTTACGATGCTCCACTGCCCTGTGGGTCAGACGTTCAGGTCGAAGGCTCCGGGTGTGGCCCTCTAAGAAAACCACCTGCTTCGGTTTGGGCACCCGGGCAGTATCACAGCCCTCACACAAATCAATTGAGATTTGTGTGGCGCATATGTATTTGGTGCTTCCTTGTACCGATACCTATGTGTTAAAATCAATAAAAATTAAATAAAATTAATTTTAGCATCTTTACAGAGACTTCAAAGCTTACACCAAACCAATATTTGTACAAAACAAACAGATCTGTAAATTAATCAGTTAACGAGCTGAACAATTACTACTCTACGATCTTACTTCTTTGTAAAACACACTGTATATGTAGAAAATTTTAAGACATTCTATTTATATCCGACAAATGTGAGAATCATATCAAAACTAATTTGAATACAAAATTGATCAAACTCTCAGAATTCAAACAAACACTTCTATACGAAATGAAATTTATCTATACAACAAACAAAATGCTAATCATAATAAAAGACGTCACTCGTAAATCACAGAATTTAATATATATTAGAGTTAAACATTGCACCGCTCATTGTGAAGTGAATTATTTTCTCCCTACTGGCCTACTTGAATACAGCTAAGTTAATGACAGATATAGACAATTTGACTACGAAAAAAATTGCATCGACATTTTCATTCCTTACATATATGTATATGTATATGTATATTTAGTACATTAGAAAAAAATCATATGTATCTTGATCTATCGATTATGATATCAGTTGTGTTCAATCACACAGTATTTGTCTTCAATGTCCAACAAAAAAGGTAGCCTACATACGTTTGTACATATATGAATAGGCATAAGGCTGCGCATTTGTACCCATTCAAATATATACAATATTTGTTAGTTGGCTAGTTAACTATATACAACAACACTAACACAATAAGGAGAAATTCCATGATATTTCATTAACTATAGTCGTCATCATTCCTGCTATTCATCTCATGTAGATAAACAATATGTAGAAAGACATGTTTATTCGACATTTAATGGCAAAATAAAAACAAAGACAACAATAAAGAATCTGTCAATAGATCGACTTATGATTGGCAGTGATGGATATCAAGAAAAAGTACTTGAACATGCAAGTCAACTTTTACAATAAAAAGACGAGATATAAGGCAAAGTATCTAGAATCTCCTACACAATCTGTGGAACAACGATTATAATAATGATATTCCATCCAATCACCACTAACCATATTGTTGGTCAACTTGATTCACACAAAGAAAGAATATGCGGGAGATCTATGCGAATATAGACAAATAGTTACCAATCAAGCATAAAAAATAGAACTGGATCATTTATACAAGTTTTTTCATCCATGATGGACAAGCTACACATACACATGAATACAGACGTACAAAGAACAAAATTTATAAACATACGTAAGGACAGACACCTAAATAGTTTATAACTACGGCTTAAGATTTGAAATAAAAATTGTGTATTAAGAAACTGTGATATACATCATGTAAAAGTGTCTTTTTAGTGGTTAAATTATTTACACCTTCAACCAATAAGTCGTGGACCTAAACTCTGAACCCTATCTCATGTGGTTTCAGCAGTCGGAGTAATATCACCAGCACTCTCCCACAAAAGTATGGCACGAAAATCAGATAAACAAACAATTTAAAGGTGTCTTTCATGACGAACTGATATCAGCTGAAAATTCATGAAAAACTGGTGAACATTGAACAGTCGTTTCGTCTTAGTTTAGAAATCCTCATTGATTCATATCTATTGCTGGTCACCAGATACCATGGGACTGCATCTCCTAACATTGCTGCATTGCCTTGTGGATTAGATCACTGAGAATGATCCCCAAAGAAAACCACCTGCGTCGGTTTGGGCGCCTGTTCAGAACTCCATCCCTCACACAAATCGAATGATGAAGTGTGGCGCACATGTATTTTGGTACCGCTTTGTATCAATGTTTGCGTTTAAATAAATATATAATAAATAGAACCGCACATAGCTTTAGATAATTGAACCGGAATCTAACACTAAGCATAGATTTTCCCAAAGTTCTGATGAGGAGCTGTAAATTGTAGGGCCAAATGAATAGGTACTGAAATAATAAGTCACAGACAGCAAATTACGAAGATGCCACAATATCACAAGTTGACTGAGGTGCGAAAAAAATGAATTATTGGATTCTGATTCAGTGGTCTATTAGTATTGCGCCGCAGCAAGATTTCGAACCTACTTAGGGTTATGGAATTTGATTACATAAAAGTACCAAACTGAGAGTGAACCAACTGTTTAGAGTTTACTGATTCTCTAGATGATCTCAGTTAGTGATGAAAACAAACATCAAATACAATAATTGACGAAAGTCTTTTGATTGCCAGTATCTTTGTTCCATTGTTATGTTGGTTACTTATTGATTATTAAAATCTTAAATGTAAATTCAGGCCTAACGACAACAGTGAGAAATATTTCTTACATATACTTTAAGTAAAAGATAAGATTGAAACTAAACCCTTACTAAAAATTCATGAACTAGTAGTTTTAGAGCGACACATCTGAGAATATTGAAACCAGAATGACTCTGTTTAATGGAGCTAATAAATATAGAGTGAAGTTTGAACTTGAAACATTGTAAGAGCTGTTCGACTTTGTTTGAATTTGGATATGAGTGGTTCTAAATGATCTTATAGGGTTTCCACTCACATTGGCTTTGTTCGGTTTTCTAAATCATAGGCTACAAGATAGCTTACTTTAGTTGTTGACCGAATACCTATAAACCACATAGAACCGAACATTTTACAAAACCAATTATCAAATCAGTAAATTACAGGCCCATTAAAATAATTATTATAATAAAGAAAACAACTTAAAGCCAGTTACGACTTTTTTAAACAATACTAATCTTTTTAAAAGTGGAACAGTTACAAAATATTTGATGCGAATCAGTCATTAACACTGATAACAGTGAAAAGTGGTTGGGAACATAGGATGACATCGTCCATACTCCGTCACAGTGGCCCAAATGCCCTCTTTTAACTCGCCCTTGATTTTGCGATCCAGCGTCTCTTTGTACACACCTTTTCATTTCGTCCTCTCAAACTGTATTCACCAATATTTCGTCTTTCTCACAATTAATTTTATTACATTATTTTGACTCCTTTGTAATTCAGCTTATCATCCTCACTTTGTGACGATACAGTTTGACAACTTGGGCTAACGCAATTATCAGTCATTCATATGCAAAGTAGAACGTTAACTAACCCACATTTGTCCCAGTCTCTTCATTGATTATGAATAACTGACAGATCATTTTTACAAAACCAATATAATATATTAAAATACATGCATATATGCGAGCATACACTCAACTTACCTAATGTTGTTTCAGATAAAGTATTTAAAAGTTCAGCTGTCGATTTTGTGATAAGAACCATTTCGGGTAAATGATTTGATGATTTATCACCATTTTGATGTATCAATGAATTTGATTTTGAATGATTATTATTATTGGATAAACCATTCATCATCACTAAATTACTATTATTACTCGTGGATTTTCCCTTATTCGTAGATGACATATGTGCATTGGCTGTTGTTAACTCCTCCATGTTAGACAACATCGGATTGTCATCTGCATTTGTGCCACCAATTAATACTAAACCATGTTCAACAATTAGTTGATCACGTGCTTCTATTTGATGACGTGCATAATCCAAACGATGTGTTAATTCAACTATTTGCATTTTTTGATACGCTAATTCCTAAAAGTTAGAAATATGTATAGGTGTGAACGACATATAGAAAATCGAATAGAAAAATAGTGGAATCATAAAAAACTATGAATAATAGGAACCAAGGCGAATAGTGATAGCCCATTAAAGTGAGTAGATCAATACAAGGACTTGATCAATACTCCTAAGACAACACAAACATGATTTTAGTTATCACTAAATGATCGGCTAATATAAGCATTTAAGTATAACAGGTCAGTTGTGATTTATGTAATTTAGTGTTAACGTCTTTGAATATGAAACTGAATCATTCAGGTTTGAAGCCAATGCAGAGAATCAAAACCTTCAAAATTACAGGTACACTTTACTAACAAATATGAAACCTAAATTCAGAGCCTTCAGCTAACTACTTACAACCATATAGTATCAAAAAAGAATGGGTTTGAGCGAAAAAAGGTTTAAATAGGTAGGATGAGAATATCTACAAATAGAACAGTATAAGGTTAAAGCTATCAACATATGCGGCCTCAAAGTCATATGTAATATGTTTATCTGTTGTGATTTCTAATAATCCAATCAGTCAGAAAGACTATAATGCTTTAAATGACTCGGATAAATATTAACTTTATACAGAAATAATACACATTTGGCTGATCACTTTTAGTAAATCTACTCTTACTCAAGTGTTTTATTAGTTTCATTTTATCAGTACTAATTTTTAATAAAATAAAATAAATCAGTACTAAACACATTGACACAGTGCCAAACTGTTTTAAGTAAGTGTTAAATAGGTCACTGTAATTTCACCTAACCAGTTGAGTATTCCCAATACATAAAATAAAAGCTGTTGCTTCAACATCCCTACTTAGAGTTGAGAATGATGTAACCGCGTGAACCAAGAGTGTGTAATTCAGTAACATAACACACGTGTCTTCTTTGATGTTGATATGTATACTAACTGATTAAACAGTGAAATGAATTCAAACCTTCCAAGTATTTGACTTAATCCTTTCGTAAATACAAACACATTTATTATAATTCTGCTTTTTATATATCCACAGAATAAAAATTCAAGCATAAAGTAACTCTTGTGAGAACTAGAAACATCTGTCGGTTGAAATCATTTGCTGCGAAGTTGCAGATGAGGCTTTGTAACAATCGTTAACAATAAAGAAACGATCGAGACAGAACGTAGTACACCATGAATAACATATTGTGAACAAGAATTCACAATATTATCCAACAGTTAACAATGTTCATTATCTACTCGTACTGAAATAGGTAAAGTTAGAATTGAATCTACACAAATCCGCCGATATTAATGAAAAAAATGCTTATCAAAGTATGCCAGTGATAACAAACCCGTTTGTTTTCTAGGAAGATTTTGTTCAAAGAAGCATAAGCATCTGTAAGATCTTCCAATTTATCTTTGAGCAAATCAACTTCATACCTTGATAAAGTAGAAAGCAAAAAGAAAACATACCGTTTATTTAGACAGTTGAAAACGTGGGCAGATTCTAGGTGTGTGTATTACGTCTAACCATGTCTACCAGTTCTCTATACTAGCATATTCATAATATTTTACCAACAAATAACCAACTGCAATTTAATGATTCTTTAAAATTCTTTCACAATTAGTCTTTTGATATCGATCTACTTCTATAATATAGACCCATTTTCGCATTATGTTGGGACCAACGAGTGAACAATGGTGAGGTTTGGCATAGGTTACTAGGTAAAGACGACAAGTCAGTTAGTGATACAATTAATCCTTATCAACTGAGGTGGTTGAGATGTGTATTACGTATGCCCAAATACCACCTACCTCGACGCACGAAGATGCATGGTGTAATAGATTGGAGGAAGATAGGGAAGGCTAAACAAAATGTAACATCAGCCCACTAAGTCATTGACTGTTACACCGAGCCATGTAGGTAGGTGCAGAATACTTGGTTGGGATTCGTACGAATATTGTAACCATTGGTTGGACTTTGGATATGGTTCAGAATTGTTCGCAATGACACAGGTGCATTAAACACTTACCTTCCCTAAGTTCCTAAACCCTGAAATCACCGTACATCTTTTTCATTCCTCGATGCACCTAATACCTTCTGCTACTTCTCTTACGGGTCTATGATTTGTCTTGATAATTTTATTTCGTTGAGCTAACATGGTATAGCAACTTGAACAAACGCACTGTTTCACATAGCATGGGACTATGGCATATCCAGCAGGACTCGAAACCGCATCACTTAGTTTCATGGTGAGACGTTGTCGTCGAGCAGCGACTGATTTGGTAAGCCCCCAAATGCCCTGGTATGGCCGAAAGTGGTGAGAGTCAGCCCCCCTCTCGAAATGCTCTCACATGGCCATGTACATACAACTACTGCCAGTCCTATTCACTGCATTCTCGCGGAGTTACTGTTGTTTACGAAATGGAGAGGACGATGAGCGAATGTCCGGCGCTTTAATCGGGTTGGTAGACACGGAGTGTCCACCTAGGGGAGTTGGAAAATCCTGATTTCAAACCAATGGTGCACATGGGCTCCAGTATCCTGAAGGGACAAATGGCGTATGAACCTATTGTTAGTTACCGGCTATCATGGGACTGCATCTCCTGACATTGCTCCACTGCCTTGTCGACCAGACCTTTAAGTCGAAGGTTCCAGATGTGGCCTCCTGAAAAAACCACCTGCTTCGGTCTGGGCACCCGGGTAGTATCTCAGCCCTAACACAAAGTGAATAATTTGTGGCGCATATTTATTTGGTGGTTCCTTGTACCAATGTTTATGTGCTTAAATAAATAAATAAAAGATTTGGGATGTTTACAAATAATCAACCACTGAGTAGTAAAAATGTCAAGTTTGTCTGCTCCATTAAGTCCTTATCAAATTATATCGATCAAATTGTAATTTAGCAACTACTCTAAGGGTTTGATCACGTTAATTCAATTATTCAATATGATGAATCAGTAAAATTAGCCCCACAGATATTGGAGTAGCTGATGGTAAATTTACTTGAACAAGCATTCATACGAACTGCATTGGAACTAAGGATCAAAAACATCTGTCAACCAAATTTCAAACAGAAGTCCCATGTGTTCTCTTCGCCAGAACCGAAGACTATGGCACAAGATTCCCATTTGCAACAAAGGAAGATAGGCCTTATTAAATACAGCAAAACCTTTTACAAAAGGTTAGACGAACGTCTATAGTGGTTGCAATGAGCGATTTTAATACGTGAGTAGGAAACACATTAAAATATAGATATTAAGAACTGCAGATGATCGGAATATGTGAAAGCTGGATATCTGACCAGATGCATATTTGGGTGCACCTGTATCAGAATTAGTAAACATAACATACCTAAAGCTTCCCATTCTTAATTTGTCAATATGTATTTAAAGATGAAGTAATTGAGTAATGACTGGAGCACACAAGTCATATTCAAACTAATTTAGCCTGAAGACACATACTGTGGTGTGAAGAAAGAAAAATCTAGTAGTGGGTAATAAAAGTAGTTGACCTTTGAAGTATCACCTAGGTTAGTTAATGTACAAAGACTCATTCCAGTTAATTTCGAATACAATAAGTAGAATTAACTGCATGCCAACCAAATTTAGGCTTTCATAACAAGTGAGAGAAGCGGAATTTTGAAAAATTGGGAGGCTTTTAAACAATTTTGAAAATAAGTAACATAACGAATTTCCCCAAACCCATCAAAGAAGCCTAGCAGAAGGAATTTGTTAGCGAGACTATCGTTGATGAACGTGTTGCCGGTTCACCCTTGAGCTATTATAGTATGGTAAAAAGATGCAGAGGTATTTTAGGCAGAATCAGATCAACCGAAAAAATCGCGCACAAGTACTTATATATTAAATAACAATTATTTTTTAAATAGTACACTCGCCTTTCGTCAGAATAATCAACCAACAAGTATTCAACATCTAGGTATTAATAATACACTTAACTAAGCAACGCTGTATTGCTTAGAGTTAAGGATCATATTAAAACACATTCACAATGAACCAGATCTCATTAGCCACAAATCGGTCGGAGAGCAAATTTCAGATTTCACTGATACCCTCTAACACTAAAACGTAACCGAGGAAAGTTGTGCACTAACCGGTATATATAGATTCGACAGAGTGGATAAATATCAAGTGTTGGAAGGTTCTGGAAGCAATCAAATCATAAATTACTATCTTAAACGGTAATAATTAGAATAGTTTACAATGTAAGTACTTACTTTAAAAGTTGTTTATCATTGTCTAGTTGAACATTTGACAACATTGCCCCCTTAACCTTTTCTTCTAACTGCAGTAAATGGGCTCGTAGCTCACGTGCATCCAAGTTCCTTGAGCTGATTGATGATGCTAAATCGGCCGAAGAACGCTGACTACTCAGGCGTGAAGTGCTTCCATTATTAACCTACGTGCATGATAAACAGTAAATATGGTTTTTTAAGACCCGCTTTGATTGATGAGTAATCGGAACATTTGCACCATGAAAACAAAAGAACAACTAACTAATAGGCAAGACTGAACAAATTAATATCACCAAACGTTTCAACACACAATATAATCAGGGAAAACAAAGACAACCTTTCATCCCGTTTTTTAATCAAAATAAGTTCGGCTCAACATCACCTTAAATTGATTCCTGAATGGTTTGTTGTTAGTTTCTTGAAGAAATATGATTACAAGCACATAAACATGAAAAACGCATACATGGGAAATGGAAATTTGAAGTTTCAAACCAATAATAAGCAAGCTAGCATGGAAGTACGTAGGTAAAGGGTGAATAGAACAATACATAACATCAGCTCATGAAGTCATGAACTGTTGGTGGTAGCCCTACAAGAAACTGAACTCTACCGATCAGGAAATATTCGTAACTAGTGGGTGGAGACTAGATGCTATGGCTTAAAATTGATTGCAGAGAGCGGTGTAAATCTAGACGTCAAAGATGATTATTGTATACTTCCCATTCTCTGATCACTAGTTTTCGCAGTTTCCCAAAATCTACAATAAGATTGACCTTGTCGCTTTTCCGCCATTTGATTCCCTCTTGTTAGCCTGATGAGAAGCGAGGCGAATTAGGTTGATATATAAGCCATATTTTATGTTTTATGACTCTATCTGATATTCACAATTTCTAAAAACCCTAGTACAGAAAATTAAAATATATACGATTGTAACTAATTGTAAAAGCAATAGCAAGGACTTACTTTAATGATAACGTCAGGACGCTCACTACTACTGTCATCCTTACTTTCCTCCTTAAAATGAATTTATCAAGCTTGATAATAAAAAACATACTTCACGCCTCATTTTTTCAAGCTCCTTGTGCTTAATTATTCTACCTTCTTCAATAAGCTGTTGATTGGCAGCACGCTGTATTTCAGTCTATATAAGGATGAGCAAGCAACTCGAAATACTACATACTTCTTGCGCTGCCCGTCCCATATCTGAAATATCTGTGTAGGGAACATGCCGCGAAGCCATAATTCATCTGTAGATCTAAGTAGAAAGAAATGGGAGATACCGCTTAATAAGCTTAAAGATATTACAATTAGACGAACTCTTGTGCACAAATGTACCATAATTAAAGTACAAATATTCAGTTTTACAAAGCTTTTAGTTTTCGGGAGTAAATTACTTTAAATTATACAATGTAGTGATATCAAAGAAACTCCATTACATAAATTGAAAAATAGACAGTAATTGATGTTTGCAACTTGGAGCATAAAAATTATTGAAGTTGCTCAGTTGTAGTTATGGAGGTAAGAGTACTAATTTTTACATGTACTTCATTAAGGTTGGTCCAACTGTTCTACTTTATCAACCGACGACACACTAAGCTGCTGTTTTGTTTGTGACTTTTTACCATGACGTGCATGCATAGTCGACAGTAGAGCTCAAAATAACAATCATAGACTACCCTAAACCTAGCACGGATATGTAACGATTTAGGCTACCACGCTGTATATCAGCACAGCAAGAAAAAACTAGTAAGATAAAAGCAAGGGGGGTGACAACATTAATCGCAGAAAGTATGAAATGGGAAATGTAGTTCAGATGAAACGAGTGAGATTGAAGTGTGGAGAATAAGGAATGGCATTAAGATAATGCGATTGATTTCGAGACGTGTCATATGACATTTGTAACTAGTGATTAAGACTGAACGATGGACTTGATCAACAAATTTGCTTTTTCTAACACCAGATAACTCTAGCCAACGTAGATCTTGTCACGAATGTGAGTCCTCTTTCTTCGACGTTTCCACGTCCAGTAAAACCCAGATAAATGTATCCTCTCACTAAGACGTGACCATTCCAAAGGCCCGCTTCAACGGGGTCTTTCGCCAGTCTCTCCAACGACGAGTTATGATACGATCTACTTGCGTCCACCACGTCACAAAAAGCAGCTACGTTCATATTATTGAAAGTGGAAGATTGGTGATTTTTAACCAATCACAATATCGAACGACATTCTATCTTTTTAAGTCTAATAAAAAAAACTATATTGGGTATTCTAAACTCAGGAGCAGGACCGTAAAACCCGATAGACATTCCATACAACGTGACGAGTCACACTCAGTTACTAAACAGATCCCCATGAAAAATACCTGGTATTTCGGGTTCGGTTTGGCTGCAGAAATTTCCCGAGTTGATACCTTAAACAAATATCGATAGCGAACTTAAAGCTGGGTTCGAAAACCTGAATTCAAGAATAAAGTACTTCTACGTCGGTCTCATTAAGACAAATATGATCATAAACACCATTTTCTTGTGGATTCTGGTCCATATACAATTAATCTGTATGTGCGCTAGCTTTATCGTCGGAAATAAAAAGCGACAAGAGAAACAAACGTCAAAGAAACAACAAACCTACAGGTCACAAACCTTGTTTGAAAACAGCAAGGGGTTGGTCTATCAGTTTAAAGTTCAAGCTTCAAGGTCAGTACGTAGATTTATTAGATATATACTGATATGACGTGAAATTGGGGAAGAACAAGGCATGACTTACGAAGCGGTTTATTTTGTTGGTGGTATTCAATGTAATATGTGAATATTGTTCGGGAAATCAACAATTAATGATCGATAACAGCAGGTAATAAACTTTGTAGCTAGATACATGTCTTAAAACGACATTACATCGATTACTGGCAGTAAAAATAAAAGATGTGCACACGTAGAGCTGAAATATATGTATGCGTGTGCTTAAATGCTTATGGAAGTGTCAACTAAATAATTTATGTGGGTGGTTGATAGTGTAGTGTCTGTTATTATATTAAGCCCACATTCCTTATTCTAGCTTTCGGACATCTCAATCTATTCATTCTACTTGAGTCAAATTTTGACCTTGCTAATTATTCGCTCATCAATCTTGACTGTTTTTGTATGAGCGCGTAGGTGTGTGTACACTTCTTATCCCGTTACTCACCACATGTCTGTAATTTATTTTTGTGTAACTGTAACTATTGAATAACGCTTGGCTAAAGGGGAGTTGGATTACCAGCCATCTCCACCGCGCGTCAATTTAGCTTCGCTTTCTCATCCTCGCATCGTTCTCTCGATCAAAGATTATACAAAATATATGTATTCAGAAGTCCATCCTCGTTATTTGACTTATTTAATTCCGTTATTAACTAACGCGATTTAGTCACTGATTATATACGAGGATAGGCGATAGCAATCATTACGATCAAATCAGAGTCAAATAAACGGGCTTTAAAATAGTACGCTACAGGACTTCCCCGTGGATAGATTTCGACGAACACTAAGAATGACTTCACAAACGAACATTAGTCGCTACTCAGTAATAAATTAATTAATTAAATAATTTAAATGATCATAGAAGCAATGAGTATAGGAAGCAAAAACTCTTAATGAGCCCAAACAAAATAGACTGGATAGATTGTACAACAACCACATCGCAAAGTGAACGTAGACCTTGGACTGTTTGACCACTCTACGAGTTGTGAACGTATGATTTATCAATAGGTTGATATGATGTTCTGGCCTCGATAGAACAGGAAGTTTGGCTAGCTTGTCCGTTCGGACATTTCCCTATGGCATAAGCAGGCTCTTCAGTTGGCGATGAGACCTTTCAGTTAGGACATTAGCTGTAGGATGGTAGGCAGTTGTCTGACACCATGTGTTTATATGAATCTTAGGAGTTCGTGGGTCATGACTGATTGAAACTGTGGAACACGATCAGTAGTGGTTGTAAAGTTGATGTCATGATTATAAGTCCGATGATTAATAAGTGTCGAGACAACTAATTTTGCCGATAAATCATTTATGGAGCAAGCCATAGCCTACTTAGTAAATCTGTCTGTCACAACAAATATATGCCTGAACAGTTTAAAAGGTGAAGGGGAGCCGACAATATCTAAATTTACGACATGGAAAAGCCTCTCCGGCCCATTGATCTTGACAATGCATAAACAATCCAGAGGTCACCTTGAAAGGTTTGACGGTCCTTTCAAAATTCGCTTGATTATGGAGTTCTAGTGGCAGCCAAAGACATCCTGAAAAAAGATATAATCATCCTCTGTGAGCTTCACGAACCTGTCTGCAGGCCTTTCGCGTCAATAAACGAAGTACAAACTTTCCAATCTTTCATTAACTATGTCTTATAAGCTCTTGGCTGTATTCATCCATGCAGTAGACTCTCTGAATCCTAGCCCAAAAGCCAAAACACCCATTCAGACAACTCAAGTTATGCATCATTACTGTGAACATACAGAAGCACCAAACTTGAAGGCGTGAAATCGCCCTTTGAGGGGACGTACGCTTCCGCAAATTATACATATCGAATCACACACCTCTCATGAGACTATGTTCAGTCAATGATGACAATGTCTCATACAATCTTCCAAAAATATTTTCCATTTGGTATACGAGGTCCGATTCTACGCTGGTGTATATATTTTCATGAATTTCCATGTTTCAATTGTTCCTGATCCGCGGTATTTGCAATGGGAATAAAACACTGAAAATTCCTCCACAGCATTTTGTTGGACAGCACTGTCATCCATTTGTTTCTCCTTTCTAACCTTTACTTAGATCTCTTTTAACCACACTTTATGTTCTTCAGTCTTCCTCGTCTAGGCTTTTATTGTGTGACTTTAGTTAAAGACTGAACGTTCGTTACTTAATTTTACCGTTGCATGTTGTCGGACTATTGGCAACAAGGTCGTGTTTGACCAAGCTCTAGGTCACGGCGTGGTTCAGTGTATGACTGTTAACCTTTGACTGGGCGCTTGGAAATATTGCTGGAATCCTTGAAGACAGATATTTGATCCCACTTAATTTGAGAGCATTTTAGTGATTTTCAACGCGCTCATTTGTGCTAAAGAAACACTTGACAGTACAGCACAGGCTATACCGCTTGAGGTATTTTTGATCATTTGCTTTTTTCTTAAATTAGAAGCATTTAAATTGAATATTGTTTGTTTTTTGATATAATTTAATACGAGTAACTCAGAAATGACTTGTACGCTATACAGAAGAACGTCATCGCGTCTAACGGAACGAATTTTGGTTCGTTAGTTCTGCGTTCAAATCGAATATTTACAATTCGGTCGTTTCAGTCTTACTGCTTATGCTTGTAGATGTAGGTCACCGAAATTTCCGCGATTGAAGTAACATAATGAAAAACTTTTGCAACAAAGATTTATCGCCCCCCAAAAAACACCTCCCGAAACAAGTCCAAAAAATCACATTGGCATTATAAAAAGGTTAGCTTGCTGAATTACGGTCTAGTCCGTCATTAGTACTGCTATAATATTTGACCTATTCCTAAACTTGCAGATATGTCATGACGTAACTACCTTATCTATAAGATCTTATGTGGAAGTCACATCATTGTCTACACTGACTCGTCCTGTCGTAGGAATAAGAATATGATGTTACCTAGTTGGCTTTATTCTCCGTAATTTCTATCAAAATGAATCTAAAATCCTTCTTTATAAAGTTTGTGTAAGACCTATCGTTAAATACTGCTCGTTCTTCTTTTCCAACCTACGCCTATCTGATATACTAATGGTGCAAGGAATACAAATAGACTTCACCCGCAAAATACTTAAGACTGAATCAGTCGTTGACTACAGTTCCCGATGCCAAATCCTAGGAATAGCACCCCTTTGGAAGAGAAGGCTTAGGTCTAATTTAAATCTCTACTTCAAAATACTCAAAAACCTTACTTATTCAACATGTAATATAGTTCTTGCTCGAAATTTACATGAGTACGTAATTCGAAACAAAGTATCTACGGTCAAAATTGAAAAATATAGATCAAAAACTCGGGAAAACTTCTTCCTCATCAAGTATGCAATAATTTGGAACATTCTTCCCTCCGAAATACGCATGGCAGATGAATTACATACGTTTGTAAGATCGCTTGGTCGAGCCCTCATTTGCACTGGTCTAGCACGTACAAACACATCTGCGCCCCACTCAGATATCATAGGCTCTCTACATGTCTAAACCAAAATGGACTTCAAGTTCAGTTTGCCTTATTTTTCCTACTTTGCAGTTGTTTTAGTTACTTTTCCTACTCTATTTCTTCACTTAAAGTAGACAGGTGACTCACTGGATCTACTGATACTGTTCAACTAAACTCGGTCGCTAAGAGACACTCATAATCACCCTAAAAAGTCAAGAGAACCGCGCAATCGACTGCTTACTACGAATCGACCTGCATCTATGGAGCCTGTTACCCATCAACAGGTTAGGACAACACAAAATAACATCAGCACCAAGTTAGTGTGAGTCTCTCCTTGTTTGTTGCTCATTAGCTTTTTACTTTTCTGCACTACATGTTAACTAGCAAATAATATCATTTCTCTACTCGTTACCTTATCTACAACCCATATACTTCTATACTTTTCCGCCCGCTTTATTAAACTACTATCCTACATTACACCCCTCCTAATGCTTATACTCTAATTGGCAAACTATACTTTATACTATAGTCAATTAAAGCAGTGCATCGATGCCTTACACACAGTTCATAATTTGCAACTGCCTGATAAGTTTGTAAAATGGTACTTATAGAAAGTGTTTTCCAACAGGTTGTGAAACAGAGGATTGTGTGAGGTATGATATATATCCAAAAATAAGCTTAAATGAGCCTAACATCACAAAAGGAGGGAGGGTGGAGTTACTGACCAGCAAGCATTAATAGCGAGAGCGATGACTTTTTCGTGCCTATTGGTAACCCTCGCGTTATTAATAGAAGAAAGCAGACTCGTAAGGAAATAGGTCTTTATTTTGATCTTCGCGCAGTCACAGTGGAGCGTGGGGTTCTTTACTCAGACAAACAAAACCTCTCAACAAGCAATATAAGATAGATAGAAATATAACGCCTAAACAAAATAAAGAAGTGAATAAATATCTGAACTATGCTGTTTTGATATATGCTTAGTTGCTTGAGATTAACTCTTGACAACCGACCTAAGCTGTTACATTAGCTTCCCCCTAGAATCGACTTCCGTAGGAACGTCGGTTCGATAACCTATTTATCAAAAGCACTTAAGTTCTGTTTCCGCAGTCCAAGGGAGGATTATCAACTCGCTCACTATGACTTCAGATCAATGACAACTCCATCGATCCGTGGATGTCTTTTCATTTGCCATTTTATTTTGTAGCATGCAATTTTTACTACACTATAGCTGTCGGTTTGCAACGTGCTCACAAGAGAAAGAGTTTGAGAAAATGGAACAAGAATGTCTGAGGAAGTGCCGCGAGCGGGCTACCCAACACCATGTTGGTGAGGTACGATTTTTCCATGCTCTGTCCGGCTATCAGGTGTTTACTCACCTGCCTCTTGAGTCGCCCTCAAGTAAAAAGTAAAGAAGAGTCTACTGCAAAGGTAATGATGAAAATCAACAAAACCTGAAGAACTGCTCCACTGCCTGCATAAAATAATAAGGTACAAAATGTAAATACATA